TTACTGAAATCCATTGATCCCCAGTCACATGTTGACCTCACAGGTATGGTGCAGTATATTTTCAAGATAAACCAGTTTCACAGTTTCAATTTGTTTACACTTGTATCGATTTAAAAAAGGGTATTATTGAAATTGTTGAGCATATTTTAACATTTTTATTTAGTTTACTTGTTACAGGTTTTCCACGGTCATAGGAACCCTAGAATATTAAGGAAAGTTAAAAATGTAATTTTCAGGACTGGAGTCGTAAAAAAAGAATACATTTTAAGACTGAACCTCCCACATTTGTGTTCCAGCAGATCCTCAACCTTTAGACAGTCATTATCCTATGACAGCACATTTATATCTTGTATTTTATCCTTCGGGGCATTAATCACTTATCATTTATGGTTTCTCATATAGGTTTCAGTGAGCAGAGCTTGCTTGCTTTACTTGAGTTCTCATACACTTCCACCCTCAATCTGAATTTGGACATCTTGACAGAGGTTTGTGCCATGGCCCGCCATTTACGCATGTGGCCTGCCCTTGAGGCTTGCTCTGCTATCAAAAGGGAGCGAGAGACTTGTCAGTTACATTCCAGAATGCACAGTTCTCCTGTGGAACCAAATAATGCAATGCCTGGACCTTTCAGGAGGGACCAATCCTCAACTTCAGGAGGGAAAGTGGGACTCAAGAGGAGAAGAAAGGATGAGGAAGGAGAAGGCTCTGGGTCTTCCTGGAACATTCAAGCACAGCACAGAGAGCACATTGTTGATAAGGTCACAGATGAATCTGAAACAGAAACCTCAAACCCTCAGTTGCAATGCCAAGTCCCCTCCAGTTTTCAGGTGGAGGAAAATGGCTTTCCATGCAGCCCAAATCGCAGAATGAAGCTCATGGACTTCAAATCTCCATCCTGCAAGAAAAAATCGTCCTCCCGCCCCTCGTCTTCAATCATCTCAAGGCTAAACAAAAGCGGTGCAAAAATTGAGCCTTGTGGGACTCCGCATGTCATGGATGTCCACTTAGACTTATGCTCTCCTATACTCGCATAATAACCTCTCCCTTCTAAGTATGACCTGAACCATTTGATTACCATCCCAGAAAGCCCGACCCAGTTTTCTAGTCTCTCTAGTAGTATGTTATGATCGACAGTGTCAAAAGCAGCACTGATATTTTGCCAGAATCAGAATTTAAGCGAATATCATTTATTATCTTAATGAGCGCTGTCTCTCTGCTGTGATGCGGTCGGAAACCAGATTGAATTGTCCAGGTATCCATTTGAGTTTAAGTGTTTGTTCAGCTGATTAAAGACCTTTTCAATAATCTTGCCTATAAAAGAAAGATTTGATATTGGTCTATAGTTGCTCAATATGGTCAATATGGAAGTTACTTTGGCAAGTTTCACATTAGTAGTACTGTGAGATGGTCATGACAGCTCTGACTCTGTTCAGAATTGTGCTATTATTTTCATTGCTGAGCACAAAATTCACCAGGAGTGGTCTGAGAGCACTGACTTTCTTTTTTGCATAGGCACATAGATGGATCCTTTTCTGTAATAATTTTGTTCTATTCTTAATTTTAGGAATGTATTTTCAAGTCAGAGACTATGTCTTTGGCTGTGAGGAATGTCAACGCAGTCAGTCTGAGAGATCAGTGGTAAGATTGTTTTTTCAAACGTATTTATCCACATCTCAGTCAGGATTGCTTGTTTGTTTTGAATTTATCTCTTACTTTCAATTTGTCTCTATCTCCAGTGTTCTGATGTGGGACTTATCTCCAGGATTGTGGAATCACATAGTCATCAAGTCTTAAGTAAGCTCAATAGCCAACGGGAAGCAGGGCTCTTCTGTGATATCACACTGAAAACTGGTGGTGGCCAGTCTTTCGTCGCCCACAAAGCAGTCCTTGCAGCGGTGAGCGAGTACTTCCAGGAGTTATTTACTGAAATGGACTCAGCCATTGATCCCCAGTCACATGTTGACCTCACAGGTATGGTGCAGTATATTTTCAAGATAAACCAGTTTCAAAATCAGAGTTTGTTTACACTTGTATCGATTTAAAAAAGGGTATTATTGAAATTGTTGAGCATATTTTAACATTTTTATTTAGTTTACTTGTTACAGGTTTTCCACGGTCATAGGAACCCTAGAATATTAAGGAAAGTTAAAAATGTAATTTTCAGGACTGGAGTCGTAAAAAAGAATACATTTTAAGACTGAACCTCCCACATTTGTGTTCCAGCAGATCCTCAACCTTTAGACAGTCATTATCCTATGACAGCACATTTATATCTTGTATTTTATCCTTCGGGGCATTAATCACTTATCATTTATGGTTTCTCATATAGGTTTCAGTGAGCAGAGCTTGCTTGCTTTACTTGAGTTCTCATACACTTCCACCCTCAATCTGAATTTGGACATCTTGACAGAGGTTTGTGCCATGGCCCGCCATTTACGCATGTGGCCTGCCCTTGAGGCTTGCTCTGCTATCAAAAGGGAGCGAGAGACTTGTCAGTTACATTCCAGAATGCACAGTTCTCCTGTGGAACCAAATAATGCAATGCCTGGACCTTTCAGGAGGGACCAATCCTCAACTTCAGGAGGGAAAGTGGGACTCAAGAGGAGAAGAAAGGATGAGGAAGGAGAAGGCTCTGGGTCTTCCTGGAACATTCAAGTACAGCACAGAGAGCACATTGTTGATAAGGTCACAGATGAATCTGAAACAGAAACCTCAAACCCTCAGTTGCAATGCCAAGTCCCCTCCAGTTTTCAGGTGGAGGAAAATGGCTTTCCATGCAGCCCAAATCGCAGAATGAAGCTCATGGACTTCAAATCTCCATCCTGCAAGAAAAAATCGTCCTCCCGCCCCTCGTCTTCAATCATCTCAACATCTCCTTGCACCTCTACTCGTTCTTCCTCTCCATCACGCCGTCTGCTTCGTTCCTCACCTGGCGCTGCACTTGCTTTGCGCAGACTCCTACCCAAAATTGACCTTTCCACCAAGAGAAAGAGGAAGTCCTCTTCCTACCGGTCATACAAGCCCCAGTGTGAATTCTCAGTGACTCCGTTCCAAACTCAGGCAAATTCTTTGACCCGTGTTACCTCAGTAAAGGTAAAGGATGAGGATGTGGAGGAGGAGGTATGTAACACAGTCCCTCAGGATGAGGTGCACAGCCCACGTGCTCAGGAGAAATACCGTCTTCTTAGCTTCCTTGGCTTGCAGAGGAAATCCCTGGTGCCTGGTCCAGAGGAACTGTCCGGCTGGGGGCAGAAAAAACGACTTAGGAAGTTAAAAGTCAGTGATTATTCACTCACAGCCCGACGTAAACCTCGTGCACAGGGCGTCCCTTTGAGTTTCGGAACTAGTTTAGGGGTGCTTGCCGCCGTTAATCCTACTCTGTCCCTCTGTGACATGAGCAGAATGGACTTGCTGAACAGACCAGTGAAAGTAGAACCTTGGAACCAAGAAAGTTCCAAAAGGAAAAGACATGATCCTTCAGGGCACGCTGGGCAGCCAATTGCAAGAGCTACTCGTAGTAGGTCATTGCTGCAGACACAGTCCAGTGCAACAGATCGACCGCTCAGACGCCACCCCAGAAATGAAGATAAAGCACCTTCCCACCCTGCACGAAGAGGTAGAGTACCAGCACACAGTGCCTCTTCCCCTTCAAAAAGCGCTATGCTCAGGATAAAACGGGAATCTTCGGAAAGTGCCATCCTGCAACCTATTCATCGTCGCAATACTGCCTACAACCCCCAGGGAACTTCTCCTAAATCAACAGGACGTAGGGGTCGCCCACCAGCAGATCGCACAGTAAAGGTAGACACAACAAAGTTGCAGCACACAAAGCGGCACAAACCTGGGCACACCCCAATAGACAAACCTATGAGCTCAAAACAAATAGAAAGTAAAACAAGATGCAACCATGCTACAGTAATGCCACATGCAAAGCACAGCAGAACTGAAAGAGGAACACAGGTGAAGGAGAACAGAAAAATTAAGGAACACAGCAACAGAAAAGAGAGTCCCGAAGTTCCGTATGCCATTGTGAACTGGGATACTTCCAACCATCAGCAACTTCACAACCATCCCCTTTACAAAACTATAAAGGAAGAACCAGCTGACCCCTTGCCCCTTACCCAGCCATTTCCAACCAGCGACTCCTCGGACCTGGGCAAGCGTCAGAGCAAACCACCCATCAAACTGTTGGATCAAGGCTTCCTTTTCGGCTTCTGTCGGTCACCAAGTGGCATTAAACGGGAGGAGGAGAGCGTGGACATCTACCTAACTCATGGAAATAGTTCCCATTGCGACTCATCACCTGGCATGGTGAGAAGAGATCGGGTGAGGGCCAGGATTATGCCAGACCGGACGGGTCTAAATGGGCCTCACTGGGCTGGGCTTGGCAACAGGCACTCACCCTTTTCCCAAAGGACTGCTGTCCGAGTGAAGACGGAGAGGGATGAAACAGGAATGTCTCAAGGGTCACAGGTTAACCGAGTTTCTAGACACCCTCAGGTCAGCAAGAGGAGCTGTAAAGTCAAGAAAGAACCTACAAAGACAAAGGTGATACGTTTTTTTTTCTCATGCCAGCAGATGCTGATGTTTATTCTTATGACAAAGGCATGTTACATAACTGTTGTTTTGTACAATTTTATAGAGTCTGGTTTAGGGAAGCAGTACTCTGTCAATCGTTGGAAAGAATTATACTAAATTTAAACTAGTAATAAACGGAAAATGACACTTGAAAAAGATCAAATATTTATCTCTCTTTTTTTTTTGGTCATTTGTAGAATGTAAATAAGCTGCTTCCTCTGAGCAGTCAGCGTTCCGTCCTACTGGAATCCATCCGACAGGCACGTCTGAAACAACAGAAGGGTCCTCACGTTCAGGCCTCCAGTGGACCACATGCTTGCCTGCAGTGCAGAGCCTCCTATAGAGACTGTGATGCTCTTATTATGCACCGGATCAGGCACATTGAAGGCAAACACTGGCCCTGCCCGGTATGTATAATGTCTCCTGAGGTCCTTGAGGTACTCCCTTCCCTTCCCAGCAATGTGCCTGTATACTGAACAAAGTTTATTGTCCTTATTGTAAAAAAGTATGCGCATGTCCAGCATATTGTTAGAGCAGCGTGGGTTTGAATCTGCAGAATTTCTCAATCCCGTTTCTCCTTGCTCACTCCATTTCAGTCTCTCTGCTTTTTGAAAGTTATTTTCCCACACCGACATTGTACTTCTATATCTGGTTTTCTTATTTAATTCTCTTTTGCAGTTGTGCAGCAAAACTTTCTTTAGACAGAGAAATGTGAGGAATCACATAAGGACACATAATCCCAAGATCTACAAATGCCGCCAGTGCATCGCTGCTCAGTGAGGTCAGTCTGTAATCCAGAGATGTCTTAATATTTTAATTTGTGTTTGAATTTATTCCCATGATAATTTAAAGGTATTGTCTTAAATTTTAGGTAAAAAGCCACAGGATTAAATGAAGAGGATCAAAGCTTTGTTTTAAATATTAACGCTGTACATACAAAGGATTTGTGATGTATGACAATGAGGTTCAATTTATTTATGTAAATAATGTTATGATGGTTTAAATGGTCTTTTTCCTCACAATAATTGTTGTTATTTAAGTAACTAAACTAAAGTTGCTTTGCAATTTATACAGATGTGTTGAAGCATAACTTGAACCCACTGTATATTACTCAGGGGGCGGAGCCTGATGGCTTAAGGTGATATATGTATAATGAGAATTGTGTAGAATGCTTTAAATTTGTTACTACTAATGTAATTACTGCAGTTATTATTATTGTTATTATGATAATTTTTTTATAAATGACATAATCTTGAGTGCACTTAATGTTCGCTTTGTTTTGAAACCTAAGAAAGATGCGATGGACTGGGATGTACTTGAATGAGTGGAGCCAGTGGACTGCCCTTAATGTGTGGTTGTCTGGCAGTGTTTTAGAAAACTATTACAGAAATTAGTCAGGAATTTTAAAATGAAGGTTCGTTAATGGGGTCTGGGTTATTCTAAAAATCACAAAATGGTTAACCTGCATTGGTGAAATACAAATTTTGTGAAAACATTTGACTACAGCTTTTCAACATGAGACAGTGACTGTCTTTCAAATAAGGGAATCCCAAAATGTCTAATGTGATTCCCCCCCCCACCCCCGATAATTCCTTGTCTGACTTTTTATGCATATCCTTCTTCAACATAAAATGCAATGGACTTATATGAAGAAGTTTTAAATGTTGAGGTGTTTTGACTGAAAACACAAGTTGAAAATGTAGAAAGGCCAAATAGCCATATAAATAAATTTTGCAGTTTAAAATTTACACTTTGCTTCATGTTTATCTGTGTACTGTGTTTTTTTGGCTTGTTACACTACTGAATGTTCAAAGTAAAAAATAAACTATAAAATGTAGAATACAATTAAAACACTTCAGATATTTTATTGTATCTTAATTTAATATGGTTCTCAGTAGTGAATGTGTAAGAAAATGTTCACCATTTCTGCTTGCATATTACATTTAACAGCACTTAATTTGATGTTAAACATCAAATATTGTTAAAATTATGAGGTTTCAGCAAAATCTGTAGCCGTTTCAGATGACTTGATACTCTGAAATGAAGGCACCTAATGAAGATATTCCACACTAACTCCCATAGTTGTGCACAAATTCACACATTTTCAACAAGTTTACTGTGAATTGTATGCTTCCTTAATATTATGACAATCTGTGAAAGAATTTGTTTACTGACATTAATGAGAAAATTTTTATCTGCTGTGTATGAGTCATGAACCAGTTTCCTTGAACAATAGGAAAGGACCTGACAATTTAAACATAAGACTTCTGATATTGCTCTTTTGTTAATATGAACACTTGAATCCATGTTGTAGGAGAGACCTGAGCTCTAGAGACCAGGTTGGTGCAAAACATCTGTGCGTTTTCTGGGGCAAGGTTGAGTTGCGAGGTCAGAGTTTGGGATGGTCATCAACACTGTCACAGAGAGCATAGTAACGTTCATCAGGTAGAGCGTAAACACCCAGTGCCTCCTTAAACTCCTGCAGCGGGCAGTAGACGTCACTGCAGCCTGGGATTTTTTGGTCCTGTAGGTATAAACAACAGCTTCAAATATGGGCAGATGTCAGAAAAAGATTAAAGAAATTAAGAAGGAAATTAAGGACACTAAATGATAAGCAAGAAATTACTGCTAATGTTCAGTGAAGTCAGTAGATGAGCCTCAAAATGTTTTTTCCCCTAAATGAACACTATTTAGTTACATTAGTTATATATATATTTTTTTAAATAAGTGCTAATGTTCAGCAAGGATGCATTCAATTGTAAATATCTTTACTCACTTTTGGTCAATGTTACAAAAGATTTCCATTTAAAATAAATGCTGTTCTTTTTAACTTCTTTTTCGTCAAGTAATTTGAAAAAAATAAAGAATAATAATAAAAAATTTATAAATTCAACACTTGACAATAATAAGAAATATGTACCAAATCAGCATATTAGAATTATTTCTGAAGGATCATGTGACACTGAAGACTGGAGTAATGGCTGTTGAAAATTCAGCTTTGCTTCACAGGATGGAATACATTTTTAAATTAATTAAAATGGTAAACTGTTCATTTAAATTGTAATAATACTCCACAATATTGCTGCTTCACTGTATTTCTGATCAAATAAGTGCAGCTTTTGTTAGCAGAGAATATTCTTCCAAAAACATTTAAAAATCATACTGACCCCAAACATCTGAACTACATTTTACACCCTGATTCCTGTGTGTGTGTTACCTGGCCAATGTAGGACACTTTAACGTAATGCTGGTTAGTTTGACGATGCTGGTATAGCTCCAGTGTGATGTCAGCTGCATACGGTGGCCATTTCATGTCAAAAACCCCCAAAGCCATGAGACATGGCATCAGTGTGGTGTCATGCACAGAGTACAGGAACAACTTTCTACATCAATAAACACACAAACAGCAGCTCTAAAAATCTTGTTTTCAACTGGACTTTTACGCACATGATCTCTGAGTCTGACCACTGTGGGGCAGCACCTCTCAAGTTTAGCAACTTATTTTTACTGTCTGGAAATAACAGGTGCACAGTGGTCTTAAAACTTAAGTGGACTTTCAAAGAAGTCAGGTTTTGAATGATACAATGAACCGTAGACATGTTCAAAAAGAAGACACCTGTCAGGTTTAGAGGTTGTGCCTTGGATTCTGTCCTCTATGTTGGTTAGGAGTATGTGGAAAAGTGGCCCCACGCACATCTGTAAATTCTGCCTGAGGTCAAACAAAAGCACATGAACACATTTACAGAGGCCTTAAAGCATAAGCTTCAACCATAACTTCTCAAGACTCTTTTTAGCTGGATTCACTGGCTCCTCACCTCTTACTGGGCTCATAGATGTGACACACCATATCTACTGCTCGCTGCTCCACGATACTCCTCCAGTTCTCCAGAGCTGTAGGAAGCGGCAAGCCGTGGGCCTAGGATCAATAATATAATGGTACTGTATTTGACAAACAAAGCCAACTCAGATGTAACTGTAGAATGTATCAGGCACTTTACCTCTCTGGCCACCATGTCATCTCTAATGAGGATGAAGTCGAGATGTTGATGAGGATCGACCCCTAAGGCTCTCTGGATGCTCTGTAGGTCTGCAGCAATGTCAGGAACTATGGACGATTCTGCCCAACGATGACTACATTTGATGGACAAAAGTCAGAAACAAATACATGGTGTTAAATTACAAGCCATTATTGGGCATTTACAGTACTGTTTAAAAGTATGGGATTTGTAGGATATAAAAAAGAATACTTTAATACAGCAAAGATGCATTATATTGATCAAAAGTGACAGAAAATAAATTTATAACATACATACAACATACAAAAGTTTTCTATTTTAAAGAAATAGATAATTTTTGTTCATCAAAAAAAATGTATCAGTTTCCACAAAGATCTTAAGGAGCACAACTGTTTTCAACATTGATAATAATATCACATGTTTCTTGAGCACCAAATCAGCATATTAGAATGATTCCTGGATCATGGATCATGTGACAATGAAGACTTGAGTAATGACTGCCGAAAACTCTTGTCATCACATGAATAAATTACATTTTAAAATATCTTCAAATATAAAACAGTGATTTTAAATAGTAATAATATCTTAAAATATTACTGTTTTTACTGTATTTCAGATGAAATAAATGCAGCCTTGGTGAGCATAAGACTTCTTTCAAAAACACACACACACACACACAAACTTACCAACCCCAAATATTTGAACAGTACTGTATTTCACCACAGCAAAGGTTTAATATTTTCTGATATTAAAGTATATTATTAGAATATTATTTATTATTTAAGCAGTAAAGAATAACATGTCAAAACCTAAAAAAAAAATAGATAAAGGAAAGAAGATTAAATATTTAGGAGCATCTATGAGTTGATAAATCTCCTTCCAATTCTTGAATTTGAATAATTTTTTTAATTACTACTAATAATATTTTCCAACTAACTTTCCATTGTGAGCTACATTTCTCTATAAAGGTTTGTTATCATCATTATTATCAAAGTAGCAAGTTTTATTATCAAAATAGGTTTTACCCAATGAGCCGCTTGAGCAGCTTGCATCCATGATAGTTGGGATAGAGGATTTCCTTCTCTGCCTTATCGGTGAGGATGGACACAACACCTTAGAGTGAGAGAAAATCAAACACGGAAAGGCAAACACAGAGTGTGTACTGCTCATCTCATCCATTACTCAACCAAACCACACAAAGAAGCGTAGCTGAGCTGCCACCTTACCTGCTTGTTCCTGTTGGAACAGTCCTGCCACCAAACACTTAGCCGACTCAATGGTGCGGACAATGTTGGTAGAGCGAATGCTGTAAATCAATGGCAGATATTCCATCTTAGCTTGATGCAATTCAGACCATAAACATATTCATGTATATTAGGATAATTTATTTGATTTTTCGGTAACTACAATAAGGTCCAATTAGTTGTTAGTTAAAGGGATAATTCACCCAAAAATGAAAATTCTGTCATTATTGGGTGAACTATGAAGAGAGTTTTGAAGAGATATGATTGCTTCATATGATGAACTTAATTTGTGTCTCAAAGAATAGCCAAAGTCTTATGGGTTTGAAATGACATGAAGGTGAGTCAAAACCTCAAGATACATTCACAATTCATGAACGTTCAGTAATAAAAATACAACTGCTCATTGTTAGTTCATGTTAGCTCAGGTCCGTCAAATAATATTAACAGATATAACCTTTGACATTAATAACATATTAGTAAATGTTCAAATTAACATAAAATAAGATTTAAAAATGCTTTAGAAGTATTTTTTGTTGTTAGTTCATGTCAATATAGTAGTTAACTAATGTTAATAAATGGGACCTTACTGTAAAGTGTTTTTCTCCTCGAGATAAAGTTTAGGGTGCCATTCTTGCCTGTAGCATAAATGGTGCAGAACGATATATTTAAATAAAGAATCATCAACTGCACTCACTAAACTTCTTTAGGGTTGAAAGAAGGTGTGAGGAAAGGCTCTTCTTGTATGTATTTCTTTCGTAACCTCACTCCTAGATCGTACAGCTGTTGCATGCCAAATGTGGTCAGCTGACCTGGATAAGTTCCACCCTATGGAAGCAGAAGTCATTATTTTTCTTAATATGACAGCCTGGCACAATTTTCATCTAAACACACAGTTAAGTATGTTTACATCATGTCTGGTATGAAACATTTACTGCAGCATCGATCCACTTAATTCCAAACATGCACTCAAAATGCTACACAAACATGCCTGAAAATGATACTATTTGGCCAAAATTATGTGGACATCCAAACAGCATCCCATATACATTATATGTTTGTTGAGCCTTTTCACTGAAAGTTTTCCATTATACGTTAGAATATGGCTGTAGGGATTTGCTCCCATTCAGACACAACAGCATCACTGATGTGGGTAATAGGTTTTTAGTTGGAATCCCAAAGC